CGACGGCAATTGTAAATTCACTCACCTTTCAGTCTGTTGACCAAGTCAGTACACACCGAAGAGAGAACTTGGTCCGCGTCCACTTCCGGAGGGGTACAGTCTACAGGGAGGGGCTGTTCACACCACAAAGGAAGTTTCTCTACGGGTTCCACCAACACACTCACCAGATCCATCATACTATCTTTATCCACAAACAAAGCGTGTGAAAGGCAGAATTCCTCGTAACAGACTCTAGATTTGATGTAGTCAGGCGACAACAGAGCAATGGTACTTCTGGACGCATCTAGGAATAAAAGAGAGAAAAAAGTGTTCATGCAGAACTAAGGTAACGGTCGAGTATTACTACAACGTTGAAGATGTATCTCAAGTTCGTATAACAACTTAGGGGATTAAAGAGATGCGCGCGCTCTGATTGGTCGAGGATTGCGTCATATCTCGCTATAGTCACCTCGCTCCGATGCTTTACCACTAAGCACAGAGACTCTACGGCAAGCGAGGTCTATTACGAAGTTCATATGACACACGTCCTGCATATTACTAGGATCAGCAATGTCGATAGCGTCATATTTGCGCTCTTACCGCGCTCACGTGGAGTCTCTGTGGTTCAGTGGTAGAGCATCAGAGCGCGGAATCCGAAGGTCTGAGGTTCGATTTCAAAAGGGATTTCAGAATTTTTTCTTGGTCCCACGCTCGAGACAAGACGAAAAATATCTTTCTCAAAACTTACTATCTCTCTTAATAATAATAATGATAATAATAACAATAATAATAATAATAATAATAATAATAATAATAATGACTTTATTGGATAACACAATTACTGGTAGAACCAGTAGTTCTCATTGTGGTCCACTAAAACTTCAAAGTCAAATAGCAAAAATACGAAGTAAAAATACAGTTAAAAATTAAAAATTAAGAATTAATTAAAAATTTCTGCTTGTAGTAAAATTATCAACTCTGGAGTTCCGATCTATATATTTCTTGTATAGTTGATTTTTAAATTTACAAAGGGAAGTGAGACCCCAAGTGGCACTATCTTGGTTGTTCCATGATCTAGTGCCACTTGCAGGAAATGAACGTTTGCCGGTCGTAGTGCTAAAGAAAGGTGTGGATAAGTCCACATCAGTTGACGCCCGAGTTGTGTACCGATGTCTATTTTTAACATAACGAATTTAATGATTAAAGTAATCAGGACATTTCCCATGGATAATGTTATGCATAATACACAATTTCCTTTGCTCTATTATGTCAGTAATGGAAATCCAACCTAATCTCTTAATCAAAGTGCTCTGTGAGCAAACTCGTGAATTGACACATGATGTTTTAGATTATGTTTAATGTTATCTGGTTTAGGGAATTTTGTGGTTGATTGTCATATCTAGAGTACGAGCAGTAGTTCAGTGTTCGCTAATGTAGCAAAGAAACAAAGTAACGTTGGGATAAGAAGGCATTATAATTGAAATGATCATGCTATTACATTTGACAAGGTGGATGATGTCGTGTGTTTTAAACGTTTATCATTTTTGTTTCTGGTTCAAAAGAAACGGTTGGAAGTTAATGTGGGTGAAAAGTGAAATTTACTCTCTTTCGTTGTAAATATTAGAAAATCAAGGCAATACTGTCTTAATGAAAAAATTAACGATTCCCTCTTTATCAAATGAGACAAACGGGAACGAGTTTTGAGTGATATAACTAAGCCAAGCCTGCCACCGTCATTTTGGATCGCCGCCTGGGTAGATTTAAGTCACGTGCTAGGCAATGTTGAATCTCCAAATTGTCTTGAAACTTAAAAGAAAATTGTTCTTTAAAAATTCACTGAAAATCGGTAGCTAAAATTGTTTGTTTAGGTGTTATTTGATTTTCGTGTTAACTTGTAATTTCGTCAGTCGCCGGCATCTTCTGTTGCTTCACACAGGAAAAACACACGCGACGAAGCGTAATGATCAATTTTGTCCTCAATCTCACGCCATAACAGAAAAAGCTTTTGAACATCTGTAAACTCCGAGCGCTTCGCAGTAAGTGATATTTTCAATGAATCTTCAGATTGTTTTTAAGTTCAAGGATTGTAAATTACAATTTTATGAAAAACGAAGGTTGTTCTGTTATTTCAGTGTGAATCCTTGCATGCCTGCCAGTCGCTGGCGCCGCTTGTTAAAACTAAAACGAAAAAAAAAACTCTTTTAAGATTATCATTGGCTTCTTTTTCACCCCACCACTATTCTTAGCAACAAAGGTCGCCATTTCGTCTGTTTATTGCTCGCCAAAAACTATCAAATGCACTCAAAAGCCTAAAATCTAAAAAACGTTTACAGGAATCGACCAATCGAGCGAATGCCAATCCCCAAATCGTATCTATAACTCGCTCTTGCGCATGCGCGCAATTCACGAGTTTAAGGCCAAATGATCTTTCAGTGCCTGCATTTAAAATTACTCTGGCACAACTTTCTGAATTATGAGGAGCCTTTGTAAATTATCAATCTTAATGTTTCCCCACACTGAACAATAATATTCGAAGATTGGTTTAATTAAAGCGTTGTATAGCAAATTCCTAAGTGATAAATTTAGGTACTTTCTGGCTCTTTTAAGAAGATTTACCCTAGAATTTAATTTAGTAATCATGTAATCTATATGGCTATTCCAATTAAGATGCTTGTCTATCTTCACACCAAGCAGCTTTTCGTTGACGGCCTCTTCGATTTCAGTGCCTCTTAATTATTCTATTTACAAATTCAATTAAAAGTTGCTTTCTTACCCAGTGAGTTGTACAGCTTTTGCTGCCAAGATGTTCCAGTATTCAGACCAGATGTATCAATAAAAATCTTTAACTCTGGATCAAGAGACGTAAGGGTTTGTAGCACCTTCTCCGCGTGAGCTTTGTTCTGATGTGAGTATGAAATGAACACATCATAATTTAAGGTTTCAATGGTCTTTGTCTCCGTCACACCAGTTAGAACATCTTCTTGCGGCCTCTTCAACGAATTTGCCACATGATGACTGGCTGCTTTGATCTTTTCTGTGTCCTTTTGCCTAAAATAAAAGTGCAAAGACAAGAGAGCAAACTTAAGTACTGTTTATAAGTGTGCATTTTTCAGCATGATTGGGTACATAGAAAAGTTGTAAATTAAAATGAGAGGATGATATTTTAAGTCTGTGCTTATGTACTCCTACTACAAGCAGTAATCGGTAACATACCTACAGTCTTCATACTGTATAAGACTCATATATGTTGGCATATAGTCCATTGAGGTGATGTAAAACGGAGCCAGAACTGTCTCTTGTGATCGTCTGTCTATGCACAAGGCCATGTTGTATTGTTCTATACAACTCTCTGTCTCCAAGTAACCTGGACTTAACAGAGCAATGACACGAGCACACTTGCCCATGATGTTAAATATCTCCTCTTGCCAAGAATCATCATCATTAAGCTCTTGGAAATCATGAAACACTTTGATTTTTCTCTCAGTTCGTAAAAACTTTGCAATGTTCAGGGCAGTTTGGTGGTCTTTGGGACAATGGGACATATAAACATCGTACATGATCTCCTACGGAACATCAAGGAAGATCCAAGTTATCATAATGATTGCAAATAATGAGTCAAGGAAATGAATACTGAAGGAAAAAGACAAATGATCCAGTCTTGTGTTGGTTCCAAAAGAGCCAAGTTGTTTGGAACCAAAGTTACCTCCTGTGAAGGGGATGATGGCTTTTTGTTATAATCATTAATAATAAATATATTACAACTAATAAATTTTAGCATTGCTGATCACTTAGGAAATTTAGCTTAATTATTTTGTAGTCTGTGTTGAGGTGTGCGGTAACTCATAACCCCTCCAAGACAAGTAAATATAATTTTTTTTTTTTCAGGTCCTATTTACAACTACTCGTTTCAGTAGTGTTCTTAGCTGCGAGGATCTCTTAAATTTCATCTCTCCACCGCAGTGCAAATATATGTATTTTCATATATCTAAAAAATCTTCATTCACTTGGATGTTTATTTGGACCCAATTCATTGACCAGCTCCCAGTTGGCTTGTTAGCTCAATTGGTAGAGCGCTGCACTGGTATCGCAGAGGTCATGGGTTCAAATCCCGTACGGGCCAAAAAAAAAAAACAAAAACAAAAAAATTTTTTTTCAGGTCCTATTTACAACTACTCGTTTCAGTAGTGTTCTTAGCTGCGAGGATCTGTTAAATTTCATAATTTGGAGATATTTTCATTAAGAAAAGAATTAATGTACAATTGGAAAGAAAACTCAGCTATGACGACAGACGGGGGTAAATCAGCCAACCTCCTTAACCCTTTAACTCCCAAGATCTGTTTGTTAATTCTCCCTTCCAGTTGCTATACATTTCCTTGTCAATAAGTAACATTAAGTTACAAGAATTTGGTGTTAGTTTAAGATAACAACTTCTACCTGATAAGTTGGAGTATTCTCATTACCTGTTTGCCGGATGATGTATGAATATTATAAGGAGAAGTTATATGGCAATCACTTTTGGTAGTTAAAGGGTTAAAGGTCTCTTCCGTGCAGATAAGCAGGGAGTGGAAACATATCAAGAAAATGAGAGTATCATTTAGCAATAAACTGAAAGTTACCCATAATTTATAGTTCTTGTTAAAAATTAATCTTTTACATAAAGTTTTACTAACCTGTACAGATGTTAATTCTTTGTCTCCATAAGTGTCTTTCAGCTTTTGAAAGCTTTCAAAGAGTGGCTCATGTGACTTGTCAGGCTTTGTAGGATTTCTTGAAAACAAAACAACTTTCAGGGTCTTCAATTCTAGGCCAGTCTTGATCCATTGTATTGCAGAGT